CACCGGGAAGTTTAGAACGAGTCATCGCAGTTGCCACTTCTGGCTTTGGTGCAGGATTGGTAACCGCGTACGATAACGAACTCCACCTTCAGTAATTATTCTTGTTGTAGTTATTAGTTAACTATTTAATAATTCGTGACAGCTCGTACAATTAATTTAGTTGAATTTATTACATTTCGTTACTTTCATTCGTACTTTATGGGCGAATTTTATTTTATTATTCGTTATTATGCGATCTGACGAACATAAAACGCTTCTCGTTGTCCGTGTTTTGATGTACTTTTTGTTCCTGCAGTAATGCAATTGGTTGCCCTTTACTTATGCCCTCTCTATTTTTTATTTTATTTTTGCTAGAGTACTCTTAACAGCCCAATGCATGAACAAGGCAATCGACTGAGAAAATCAAGGCCAAAAAACGCGTGTCTTCCGAACCACGACTAATCATGTCTTTCAAGAAATCTGGCCCGTGGTTGTGTAACTAAATTAATGCATTACCAAGTGTACAGCAGGTGTTCGCCTTCAAGTGTTACACAGAGCGTAACCTGCCTCGCGTAACCTAGGGCTTCATGCTTGCAAAAGTTTTGCAAGCACGAAGCCCTCGGTTTTTTCTGTAATTCGACTGCACACAGCATATAGTTTATCAATACTGCTGTGACAGACATTACTAACGTGCATCTGAGTCTGCGAATATCGAAACATGTGCGATCATGTAACTTAATTGTATACATGCACGAAGTGTTGAGCTCGCGAAGGCTTTCAGCTCATTAGCACGTGACATAAATTGCCGTAGACACCGATATGAGCAGAGCACACAGACGTATTTTCGTAAGGATTGCTTTCATTGACTACTTAGACAGGAGCCTTAGGCGCTTCATCAAACGGAAAATGAGACCGTCGGGGCCGAGCAATGCAAAAAATCCTCACGTGACTAACGAGTGGAATTATTTTTGCACAGTTGGCTACTGCTGTTATCATGACTCAACGCGGTTAGTTTTTTTTTCTCTCGAGTGCTTCTTTTTTCGCGTTCTCCTTTGGTTGTTACACTGTTTCCCACACTGTCCAAGTTATTTTTTTTTTGTCCTCTCCCTTTCTGTTTCGAACTTGTCCTGTTCCCAGTCGTGCGTAAACTGTTCCATTTATCATCGCTGGGTGGTCTTTTAAATTTATTGTTTCTTCGTACTGTGTACTGTAGTTCCAACTTCTCGTTGATAATTTTTTTCTTCTTTATGATATACTTTTTATTTTATATACATTATTACTATTTCTTAGTCTTTTCGCTGAATATGTGCGAGACACACTCAGACCTTAATAGGGTTGCTTCAGGGTACGTTTAATGAATGGAGAAAATAAATACATAAATAAATAAATAAATACTGATACTACTGCGACCGAATGGGGCTCTCGGAGATTACCATCTGGAAGGAGGAATGGGAGAAGCGCACCCTTTGACGGGAGACACGTCACGGACAGAGACAAATTCCAGAGAAGCGGTCAGGCTTGTAATTTAGTGGCTGCAGCGGAGCGCCGAACTCTTCTCTCCTCAGGGAGGCGTCTGATAAACGTCCATTAAAGCAGTTCTGACAGGAGCCACCAAGATCCCGTGTAGCGCCATTCTTTTTTAACGCTTAAAACTTTTTCTCTCTCTCCTTTATTTCGTGTCCACTGCGTCTATCACTAGTTTCCTGTCACTGCCGCAGTAACGAAATTTACGTAATCGCTCGTGTACGCCGTTTGAAGTAGCTGGGGAAGACTTGGAATGAATTGACATGCCAGAAGCAGTTTATCGGTCGGGTACATTCTTTTTTTTTTTCTGTCGTTGTCGTGAGGCTGCAGATAAGCGAAATTTCGCCCATCGTTCGTCTTTTCTTTCAACCCTCCCGATCGTGCATCGTATACGCCCGCTAATTTATTTCTCTGCCTTTGGGGCTTCGCTGTTGCTTCGGTGTAGCCTCGTTCGTAGCTTCTTTGTTTAACCTGCGCCGGTTATGAAGGGAAATTTATTTATTTATTTTCCAAATACTGTTAGCCTTTCGGCTGTTACAGGGGTGGGACATACTAATAATGACAAACATCAATGCATTCAAATGATACAGGAATATAAACATCAACACTTGAACTTGTAAATGTTACATGAATATGATTGGAAACACCGGCATTGAGGCTGAAGGAAAAACAGTGCAGTCGTAGTAGCATACAAATGAATTGCAATAAATTAACATAGTAGACCATGCTTACAGATGGATGACAGAGAAAAATGGATGACAAAGAAAAATAATTTTCAGACATCCTTACTGCTATTTGCCATTGGCCGGCCAACTTTGCCTATCGTATGTCCAGCACCGAGAGTAGCCGAGATCTTTAGGACAACACGGCCTTTTGTGAAGACAAGCCAACGCATCTGGTAGCTAGGACGTTGACGTGTTTAGTTAATACGTATATATATGTATATATATATATATATATATATATATATATATATATATATATATATATATATATATATATATATATATATATATATATGCAGTGCACTCGTGTTGTCCGACGTATAAGATAGTAGTTAGTTTTCTCACAACGATGCAGATGATGTGCTCACGCACACTTTGACACTTCTTACAATAACATTAGCCGCTAATCTCGCGTGCCAGATGATTATGCTCATACTGGGTTGCGCTAAGGCAGCAGAATAATACAATGTACCAACTCGCCATCTTGTCTGTATAACAATAATTGCTGAGGTTTTACATCCCAAAACCACCACATTATCATGAATGACGTCGTTGTGAAGGGCTCCGGATATTTTGACGTTCGTCAACGTGCACCGGAATCTAAGTACATCGGCCTCAAGCATTTTCACATCCATCGAAAATGCGGCCGCAGCCAAATGAATTTGATCCCGCGACCTACAGGTCAGCAGTCCGTGCACCATAACCTCTAACATATTAAAACAATATATAGATTTGTACGTGTTAAAACCACTATATATGAGTACGAGACATGCCGTATAAGAGGGCGCCGAAAATTTCGATCACCTGGTGTTCTGCAACGTGCGCTGAAGTAGCGACGTACGCCATATCGCCTCCACCGAAGTGGGACCACCCCGGCCGGGATTCGAACGCGCGACCTCACTATAACCACTGGACCACCGGCGGGTCCCATCCTGCCTTTACAACGGGGCATAACACAGTGACGCGAAAGCTAATATGTTGTTACACTGTCCTTTATGTGCATCTTCACGCTAATAATAAGGATACTGCCTCACTCATAGTTAACGATGCAGTATTCCACGAGTTTTGCTGCGAAGAAGACGCGGCCTCGATTCCGGCGCCACTTTCGCCATTCCGCAGAAGAGCACATGTAGGCTGTCTCGCCCGCTCTCGGGCGAGTTGAGACGCCGGCACAGAGACGGCTACGACGAATGCAGACAGGATCCTCTTCGTCTGGGGTCACGACTATTAATGCGAACGAGGCGCCTCCGCCGGGAGTAGCCGGAATACGCGCTCAGCCGTGGCGCGCCACCCTTTTGTCTCCACTCGTTTCCTGCTGACTCGATTCTTCCCGACGAACCGCGGCGCGCATCCTATTCACTGTGAGAAAAGCGCCCGTCCTGCAGGTCTTCCCCTTGCGTGATTCTTTTTCTTTTACTTCTCGGAGACTTTGCTTCCAGGAAAAGCCGGCTCCTCACAGTGTCAGGTTCGCCGACATTCATTTGGGCACTCGCTAATTGGGACCCGCGACGCGTCTGCGCTGCCGAGTATCGTCATTACTTCACTATTACCACAACGCCTCGACCTTTTTTTTTTTAATTTCTTATTCTTCGTCTAACTTCGTAGCTAGACCGAAGTGAGTCACTCGCATTCAGCGCGGTGCATGGGGCCGCAATGGGCGCCTGCCGTTGGTTCACTGAGCCAACCGAGGTGGCTTTATCATTTTCCTCTCGCCCTTTATCGTCTGCCAGTGTAGGTGCGATTGTCGCGAGAAAAAAAAGATGGCGACCTCTTTTTCCTAAAGTAAGTTCTCGCAGTGGGAAACTGCAAGAGAAGAAAGTGTTAATGAATACGTGCGCTTCCTGCGCTATCTTTACAAATAGATTACCATTTATGTAGAGGGAAACTGAGTAGAAAGAAGAAAAAAAGGATTGAGGGTAACCAGACGAAAAAGTCAGGTGTGCTATATACTGCACTGCACGAAGAACGAGTCACGGGGAAGGTAGAAATGAAAGATGGAAAGTGAGAAATTGGGAGCAGCGGACACACCATTTGCATTCGGTCACTGTACACTGCCGCTGAATGCGGCTACGCAACCGATTAGCCGTATACGGCTACTTGTGCAGATCTAATGTTCCTAATAGCTTCTACACTACATTGCTGTAATCAGGTGCGATGCATATACAAACATCAGGATAATGATGTCTATTGAAATGACTTAATTATACCACTCAGCTTTTACTATTCAGGAAGCATAAACCTACTGAACATTTCGCATGTCATTCTGTCACCTATGCTCTAGTTGTAGCGTATTGATTGCTTGATTGATTGACTGATTTTGCACATGCCAGTTCCGACGAAAGCTACTGCATGAAATTAAAAGAAAAAATAAATGAGAAAAAAAACTGAACACAATGCGCCAATACGAGGTATCACGAATCATACAGTGAAACGTTGATTATTCGTAGCAAGTATATTAAGAACTTTGAAACGCAAAGCTCATCATAACAAAATTCAGAAGATACACAAGCTGCAAATGCAAAATAAGTAAACACGTATACAAACAGAACGTATACGTCCTTCAAGCAATGTTGGAAATTCATTGAAATCGCGGGTGCACATTCCCGTAATCCATTCCTTTCGCCTGTGCAAAGAATGAATGTTTGAAGCAGGTAATTTTAAAACGGAATTCCTGTAAGGTTCGTGCATGCTTGTGGCACGATTCTCTCAATTCTCTCGGCAAAGATAGACACCTTAAGCTGTCAATTTATTTATTTATTTATTTTCGTGCAGCGTGGAGGACTTCCCGCGTCAGGCCGACCGCGGCATGATCCGGTCGGCGATCGGCAAGGCGCTGAAGGTGTGGAGCGACGCGTCCAAGCTTCGCTTCACCGAGATCGCCGCCGTGTCGAGCCGCCGCCGCAGGCCAGGCGACGACGACGACGGCGGAGCCGACATCGCGGTGTCGTTCGCGAGGCTCGACCACGGCGATGGCTACTCGTTCGACGGGCCGGGCACCGTCCTGGCGCACGCCTTCTTTCCCGGAGAAGGCAGGGGCGGGGACGCGCACTTCGACGCCGACGAGAACTGGATCACCGGCACGCCCAACAGGGAGTCCAATGGTCAGTCATTTGGCTCGCGCGCTACATTCATTTATTCGTTCATTTATCTATCGAAGAATGCCTTACACAGGCTCGAAGCCATTGAGAAAGGGACAGGGGCTGAGGTGGATAATTTGGGGGAAGGGGGGGAGGGGCGCCACTTTAAGCTTAGGTAAGTGCGCGGTGTGGTGGAGTGTCGTTTCGTGCTCTGTATGCCATGCGAAAAAAATAAGTAAAAAAAGAACTGGTTGGGGGTGGGGGGACGGGCCCAGTGTGCCACTCCCTGGCTATGCCCCTGGTTTTGAAGGGTGAGAGGGGGTGTTGCAATGAGATAAGAAGCAAACATATAAGAAGTACCGTTACATTGCCAGTTAATATTAGCAACGGCAAAATTCAGCGCAACAAAGCTAACTATGCAGTCAGACATTGCAACTCAACAATACAACAGAAGACTACCGTACGTTAACAAAAATGCTCTGCTAAATTAATGCGCCATATAATGCGGCATGCCTGTTTGGTGCTATAGGATAGTGCACCCGCGTCATACAGGGCTCTTCCGTGTTGTCGTCAAAAGCAATGCATTTTAATGTTTTTTGTAAGCAGTGAGTATCATTGTGAACCTTGGCCTTGAGCGGAATGCGGGCGACAGAGCGTCGACAGAATAATATTAGTAGCCCCGCCGCGGTGGTCTAGTGGCTAAGGTACTCGGCTGCTGACCCGCAGGGCGCGGGTTCGAATCCCGGCTGCGGCGGCTGCATTTCCTATGGAGGCGGAAATGTTGTAGGCCCGTGTGCTCAGATTTGGGTGCACGTTAAAGAACCCCAGGTGGTCTAAATTTCCGGAGCCCTCCACTACGGCGTCTCTCATAATCATATGGTGGTTTTGGGACGTTAAACCCCTCACATCAATCAAATCATCAGAATAATATTAGTATCATGATCTCCATCACCCTTCACGCTGAAAAGCCGTATAACATATTTCTTCCCTTCTAAACTTATTAACGTGCCTGCCTTTTCTTTCTGCCCTGTTCCTTCGCTCTTTCTGCGACCGCCTTCATTTGAACGATAATAACTATTGTTTTACGTAACAAAATCACGATAAGATTATAGGTACGCCGTGGTGGATGACGCAGCACACGGGTCTCAGCATTTCGCCGCCATCAAAGAGCTAGCAACCGCCACGGCGGGATGGAACCCGCGACCTTTGGGGCAGCTGCCGAGAGTCGTAACCGTTACAACACTTTCTTTGAAAAATGAACGCTGTTGTGTGTCAGTGAGCGCAACTCGTTATCTTTCTTTATTCCTTCCCACCTTTTCCTCCTGCAGCGTAGGGTAGCAAACCGAGTGAAACCGGGTTCACCTGCCTATCGTGTCTATCGCTTTCTCTTCAAGCAAGATCTCCTCTAACGGATGCTCGATCAACTTACGCATTTAAATGACAGAGCTGGCTATCGAAACGCCTTAATTTTGTTGGAATGCGAATGAATGACGTCACTTTCGACGCGATAGCGTCAAACAACTCGTATCGTGTCGTTCGTTGTGGGCGAAAAATCGTTATCTTATGCGTGATTGAAAAATAGAGAGCGATGCAAATAGAATATAATAAAAAAATTCTGGGTTAGAAAGGGGGTCGAACTCGGGCCCTTCTGCGCGGCACGAGGATGTTCTACCACACAGTCACGCGTGTGCTTGTGATTATAGTGAAAATAACTTCGTCTGCTTGGAAATTCTATGAAAGTAACTTTCATGCTTCACAAACACACGCGTCCTGTATGCATACTTCACAATACAGCATGAATTATTGCAGTAGTAATGCTACTGTTAGTAACGCCTGGTACAAGCGCCCATTGCCGTCGGAACATGTTCTTGTTCGCCTATTGTCCGTGGCGCATACCCACTATGGGGGATTGGTCAAGAATTTAGTGGTTTTAAATATTATTGTTCAGGTTCAAAATAAAGAAGATGTAATAGATTACCGATGACCTAGGAAATCGTGGTGCTCGATCTGATGCGTATAATTATTTAAATAAAGGAACGAATTCATTCATAGAATAGAACAATAATCTGATTTTATATGTATATAATCTTGCAGACACGTTAGGATAATGAAACAGATTAATTAGTCAACCTATTGTTATCATCATAATGAGCTCGTGATTTAAAGCTGGTCGCACACTACGAAAGGCCCACTCGCAACTGCGCCTATTCCCTCAAGGTCACGTAGTGGGTGCATAGCAAGTTCGAAATGGTTTCATGTTCTAAGTACGCACTAGGGACAGAATACCACTGTTCCATTCAACTCTTAGAGGCGACGCTTTAAGGTCCCATTTTTTTCTTCTGCATCTCACGTATTTAAGGAGCGCTTAAACTCGGAGGAAAATAGGGTGCAATTATCGAATTGTGTCAGTGGTGCACGTCCAGCTGAGGAGTCAGTAAGGACAACAGTAATGTGAACATTGAACTTGTTGCGTGATAAACCTCATTTGTAATAACGTCCATTAGGAGAAAAAAAGCTTGTTGCGTAATACGACACATACAAAATAAATAAAAAATCGAAGAATTTACCGTTATGCTAAATAAATTTTTTGTCTGACAGAATTTCTACATTGCTTCTCATTCTCTCTTCATTTTTTAACCCATCTGCGAAAAACACTTTTTTTTCTTTATTGTAAGCCGGTGGAAACCTTGTTAGCAGTGAGTGTTACATATTCGCGGGTGCCGAGGAAAGACGCCGCAAGCAGTGCCAGGAAGACAATCCCCCCTTTTATTCACTCAGCGACGCGTTTTTTTATGCGCTGTCGAACCAATCAGAGGGTGGCAAAAGCAAAACAAGAGGAGCCGATATCGCGGCAAGCAGGCAAGCTTATCAGAAAGCCAAACGAAACAGCAGTGGCAAGCTGGGCGAATGTTACAGCAGCTCTCATTTGCCTTCGACATTCCAAGTCACCCGAGAAACCGAAACATAAGATATCGGAGGACAAGGCTGGCTAGTTGGTGCATGTTCATGGCCAAATACAGGGCGTGCAAGAACGTACAGGAGAAAGAATTAATAGAAGTTAGTACGTGTGGCGCTTTAATATTTCTCTTCTGTATGTGTGCACGCTTATCTTGTCTTTTCCCCATGAGACCGAAGAACACCTTGACACTGCCTTTGAGGCCTTGCCTCCACCGTTTTCTACCGTCAGCAGCCTTCCAAAAAATAAATAAATGGAAGCTGAAGTCATCATCATCATCATCAGCCTGACTACGTCCACTGCAGGACAAAGGCCTCTCCCATGTTCCACCAGTTAACCCGGTCCTGTGCTTGCTGCTGCCAATTTATACCCGCAAACTTCTTAATCTCGTCTGCCCACCTAATTTTCTGTCTCCCCCTAACCCGCTTCCCTTCTCTGGGAATCCAGTTAGTTACCCTTAATGACCAGCGGTTATCCTGTCTACGCGCTACATGCCCGGCCCATGTCCATTTCCTCTTCTTTATTTCAACTATGATATCCTTAACCCCCGTTTGTCCCCTAATCCACTCTGCTCTCTTCTTGTCTCTTAAGGTTACACCTACCATTTTTCTTTCCATTGCTCGCTGCGTCGTCCTCAGTTAAAAGCTGAAGTGACTAGCGACAAATCGTCGGGAACTGCCTCCAGCCTACCAATTCGGGATCTCTTTAAACGCTGTCGTTTCGTGCGCAAAACTTGAGCGCGTGTCACTCCAGGTGGGATGATCGCGTGCACGATGCTTCCATCACGCGTGGGTTTCGTGCTGGTGGTTGCAGCATGGGAAGCCGCGGCCACGGCGACCTGGTGTCCACGGGGAGCCGGCTTGAGCCCAAATATCCTGAAATGACCCGGTAGGCCTTCACGTCGTTGCTATACGTCCTCAAATCGCACGCACGAGAAAACAGGCCCGAGAGTGGATTTCTCATCCATTGTTAGTACAGACAGAAAGCACCGTGTTTCATCCATGAGACGACGCAATTTTAACACGATGAAGTTAGCGCAAATAAAGGCGGTAAATGGGCAAATCCCACAATAGATATGTGCCACTCTTCCCAGCACTCTCACTATTTCCTATACTCTCACAACTCACTACTGTGATCCCACGACTGCATCTCCTCCCAATCCATACCACTTGATTCCCAATTCATCCCACTTTATTCAACTATATATACTGCACGCCATGAGCTTCGTGGTTTCAGTGTTCACCGAGTGGAGCTGACTGAATTTCATCATCATCATCATCATCATCATCATCATCATCATCATTGTTCTTCTTCTTCTTCTTCTTCTTCGTTGAACGCACGACCAATGGATGCGCTAACGAAGAAATCACGCCCCATGGCCTTATCGTATATCGACCGTTCTACATATTCACCCACTCCATCAGAGGCAACGCCTTCTCCGCTGCCTTTTTCTTTTCTCTCTTTCCACTTCTTCTACACTCCACGCATTCGAGCAGTGCCGAACCCCGACGAAGGGACGGTACAATAGGGTCAATTGGAAAAAAAAGCGCGCACCCGAAAAAGTTCGAAGTTAAGAGACGGCGTTTTACGACGCATTTATTGACTCTCGCGGCTACATGCTCACGAACGGCTTCCATTTAACGAGCGCTCTTTAAACGACGCGGAAGCGGAGTGTTGTCGAAGCACCGTGACGTGCCCTGAATGTGTGCGCGCACGGGAGGGTGGTATACCATATACGCGGAGGCCCGAGGGGGAAGCTCTGCAGACAACGAGCGCTCCCCCGACCAAGTGCGCAATCCATGCCGAGTCACGAACTCCGTTTGCTTCTCCTCCAGGTGTGCACGCCGCCGGAGCGTGTGAGTAATCCGCCCAGGGACCAGCGCCGAAAACTGGGCCGATTACGGCGAGCTGGCAACGGTCTGCTCGCGGGTTTCGATGTCGCGTCGTTTTTATAATGCTTTTGCGTACCCTGTACAGTTTTGCGTACCCAGAGTTTTGCGTACCGTAGTGCAAAGCTTTGAATCAAAGTTTTCCGTCACCTTGTGTGCGTCGTACGCTATCTTGTGAC